GTTTTTACAAAATCAAATGTTTTTAAAAATAATTTAAGTATTTAAAGTATACAACATGATATTTTTATATACCTGTAGATAGTGAAAATGGTTACTGTAGTCGAGTGAATTAACATATCCATCATTACACATTGTTACCTCTTTATGGGGATCAAGATCTCCAAAATCTACTCTCTTACTAAAGATCCCAAACACAGTACAATAATCTTGACTTTGTCCTCATGTTGTACATAGGAACTCTAGACTTGTTTGTCCTACGTACCTGTGACTTTTTATCCTTTGACCTATATCTCCCCATTTCTTCCTTGACCCACTTCACTTTTTATGTGAAGTGAAATAAACCAGACAAAGAAAGAAAAATACTGCATGATCTCATTTATGTGTGGAATCTGAAAGAAGAAAAAAGCATGTTTGTTCTTATTGCTGCAGAGTATTTCATTACATAAGCACACCACCATGTATTTATCCTGCTGTTGTTGATTCATATTTGGGTTGTTTCTGGCTTTGACTGAACGAGTAGTGACACTGTGCACACACAAGTATACCTTGTGGATCCCGTGCCTTCAGTTCCAGAACACTGCAATACAGTGAATATCACACGAAAGTGAGTCACACACATAGTTTGGACTCCCAGTGCCAATAAAGTTATGTTTATACTATACTGGAGTCTATTAAGTATGCAATAGCACTAAATCTTAGTTAAAAATACTTTATTGTTAAAAATGTGAATGATATCTAAACCTTATGCCAATTGTAATCTTTTGCTGGTGCAGAATCTTGCGTCGATGTTAGTGGCTGCTGACTGAGCAGGGTGGTGGCTGCTGAAGGTTGAGGAGATGATGGCAGTTTTAAAAATTAAAAAAAATAAGGCAACAGTGAGGTTTGCCACATTGATTGACTTAATTCCTGTAGCATGGGATTGTTATAAGTAGAATTTTTGATGCTGCAAAAGAAGCAGCATTCCAATATAAATTTCCTCAGCAAGGCAATTTACTTCCATAGAAGGGTGCAGCTTGCAGATGGAACAATGGCAAGTGGACGCCTGGACAAGGAGGGGAAGAGGTACTTATGCCTGTCGGGGGTCGTCCCTACTGCTGTATCCTTCCCCTATTGGCTAGGGTTAGACCACACAAGCTAGGCTAATCCTGATTGGCTATTTTAAAGAGAGTAGGGGTCTGAGCTGGAGTGACAGGGTGGGTGGCTCTGTGGGAAGGACAGTTATGGGCAGGTCAGAGCAGGTAGCCAGGGGTGATCTAGGTTAAAGAAGGTGACTGAAGCAGGTGACCAGGATGAGTCAGGATGGAGCCGGAGCTGGGGGCCAGGGGAACAGATGTGAACTGCTGATTAGAACCGGTGGAGAAGGTTGTTTACTGGAACTACAAGGAAGTTAAACTTTAAAATAGAGAATCAAAGAATAAGAGAGCTGAACATACTGACGTACCGATTCTTGGAAGAGAAACTTGGGGTTCGCTATATCTAACATGATGGTGTTTGACGGCATTTTAGCCCACAGTAGCACTTTTTTAAAAATTGGGGTCAACCCTCTCAAACCTTACAGCTGCCTTATCAACTCAGTTTGTGTAATAGTCTAAACGCTTTGTTGTCATTTCAACAATATTCACAACGTTTTCAACTGAAATCAATTCCATCTCAAGAAGCCGCTTTCTTTGCCCATCTCTAAGAAACAGCTCCTTATCTATTCTAGTTTTATTATGAGATGGCAGCAATCAGTCACATCTTCAGGCTCCACTTCTGATTCTGGTTGCCTTGGTATTTCTACCACATCTACAATTACTTCCTCCACTGAAGTCTTGAGTCCCTCAAAGTCATTCATGATGGTTGGATCAAATTCTTCCAAATTTCTTTAAATGTTGATATTTTGATCTCCTCCCATGAATCACAAATATTCAGAATGACATCTTGAATAGTGAATCCTTTCCAGAAGGTTTTCAATTTACTTGGCCCAGATCTATGAGAGGAATCACTCTTTATGGAAGTTACAGCCTTACAAAATGTTTTCCCTAAATAACAACACTTGAAAGTTGAAATTAATCCTACAGAGGGATGTTGTATTAGCAGACACGGACACAATATAAATCCTTGTATATTTCCCCTAGAGCGCTTGGGTGACCAGGTGCATTGTCAATGAGCAGCAATACTTTGAAGGGAATTGTGCATGTGCCTTTTTTTTTTTAGCATTATGTCTCAGTAGTATGCTTAATATATTCAGTAAACCATGCTGCAAACAGAAATACTTGCATCCAGGATTTGTTGCTTTCTCATACGTAGAGTAGACTTAGCATAATTCTTAAGTGCCTTAGGATTTTCAGAATAGTAAATGAACATTGGCTCTAACTTAAAATCACTAACTGCATTAGCCTCTAACAAGAGAGTTAACCTGTCGTTTGAAGCTTCAAAGACAGACATTGACTTCTCTCCAGTTGTGAAAATACTAGATGGCATCTTCTTCCAACAGAAGGCTGTTCGATCTACACCGAAAATCTCTCGTTTGTGTAGTCACCTCCATCACTGATTTTAGCTGCATTTTTGGGATAACTTGCTGCAGCTTCTACATGGGCATTTGCTGCTTCACTTTGTACTTTTACATTATGGGGATGGCTTCTTTTGTTAAACCTCATGAACCAGTCTCTGCTAAACTCCAGCTTTTCTTCCACAGCTTCCTCACTTCCCTCAGCCTTTATAGAATTAAGGCTAGTTAGGGCCTTGCTCTGGACTAGAAGACTAGACTTTGGCTTACGGGAATGTTGTGGCTAGTTTGATCTTCCATCCAGACCATTAAAACTTTCTCTATATCACCAATAAGGCTGTTTTGCTTTCTTATCATTTATGGGTTCACTAGAGTAGCACCTTTAATTTTTTCCAAGAACTCTTTCTTTGCATTCATAGCTTTGTTAATTGTGTTTGGTGCAAGAGTTCTAGCTTTCAGCCTGTCTTGGATTTCAACATGCCTTCCTCAGTAAGCTTAATCATTTCTACCTTTTCATTTAAAGTGAGATACGGATAACTCTTCTTTTCACTTTACAACGAGGCATCAGGAGGGTTGTTAGTTGGCCTTATTTCAGTATTACTGTGTCTCATAGAATGTGGGGGCCCAAGGAGAGGAGAGAGATGGGCAGCAGCAGGAACACACACATTTGTAGATTTAAGTTCACAGACTTATATGGCCATGGTTCATGACATAGTGCTTCAAAACAATTACATATTAACATCAAAGACTCCTCATCGCCAATTACCATACAGATGTAATGAAAATTAAAAAGTTTGAAACATTGTGAGACTTGCCAAAATGTGACACAGAGAAAGGAAATGTGCATTTGCATGTTGGGGACATGGCACTGATATTGAGACATGGCGCTTGACTCGAAGTTGCCATAAACCTTCAATTTGTAAAGAACACGGTATCTATGAAGCATGATAATTCCAAGCTCGACAAAATAAGGTGTGTCTCTGTTTGTACATGTGTGTGCCTTTGAAGTCAGGTATACATCCAAAAGTGAAATTGCTGAATCCAAGGGTGTGCACATCTCTCTCTGACCTCTAACCCAAGATTTAAAGGGCTCATATGAGTAGGTCAGGTCAGCCAAGTCAATCTCCCTATTTTTGAATTCAGCTCTTCCCTAGAGGATAGTCTAATCACAGAAGTAAAATCCATCCTGTTCATAGTCTCGTGGATCCCACAGGGCATACAGAACATGGAGCAGGACTCCTGGGGGCATCTTAGAATTCTGCACAACACATTCCTTTTGTTCAATGCCTAGGAAACTTTTCTAGAATTTCTAAAAAAATTGTAAGGGTTTTGTCAGTTGTCTCCGGGACAGTTACTGTGCTTAACTTGGTCATTCTCTTTAATATGTTCTCTCCCCCAAGTCTTGTAAACCTTGTTTTCTTGTTCATTTTTCAATAAAGTCCCTTTGCCATTGAACTGCTCCATTTCCCCAAGAGGCTCTCCTTGAACGGAAAGGCTGCTAGTGGCTTTGTGGCAGGTAGAATGCCCCCAGACGCAGAAATTTTGGAGGAATCTGCATTTCAATAGGGTGTGGATACTAAGATTGGTAAAGAATAGGAGATTTTAGAGAGCCTCAGTATAAACACACACTAAGCAAGTTCCAGCTCTGGGTCATAGTTTTATTTCCTCAATATCTATTGATTAGGTGAAGCACTGATTGTTAATCACACTCTGAATGAAGAGACCACCTAAACAGGCTTTGTGTGAGCAACAAGGCTATTTATTCATCCAGGTGTGAGTGGGCTGATTCCAAAAAGAGGGATTTAGTAGACGGTGGTGGGATAGGACCTGGTTTTATAGGTTGGGGGTAGGTAATGGAAAGGGGGGGGTGGTGTCACAGTGTCCAATGTCACAAGGTTGACTCATCAGTTGAGGCAAGAAAAATGGTAGAATTTTGCCAGGTCGGTTAATCAGATCACAGGGTCCAGTGTCACAAGGTCGACTTATCAGTTGAGGTAGAACAATGGTGGAACTTTGCAAGGTTGGTTAATCAGGCACTGCAGGAGCTAGCTAATCTTCTCCTTTTGTGGTTTTCTTGTTATCTAATATTATCTGGCTCCGGGGGGCCATGTGGAGGTGTACGTGTGGGTCACAGGGTCACCATGGCTTGACTATGGTGTAGTCCATGGTGCAGTCAGTCCAAAGAACCTTGCACTGCTGTTTCCCAAGCTCCAACAAGCAAACTATTAGCCTCCCCAGGAAAATACTTTTGGGAGAATTGTTTCCTTGCTTTATTTTGGAGACAGTTACCATTACTTTAAAATTAAATACTATGATGAGAGAGAGACTGAGATATCAAGGCAAGAAACCTTCCAAATTACCCAAAAACTTCTGACAGAAAACAGTTGAAGAGGGAGAAGGCAGAAAGACATTCCTAGCCCTGAGTAGTCAATGACCTATTTATTTGCTGGAGATGACAGTTGATATTATATATTCTTTTATGATATATGATTTTTACATTACTCTTTGACAGGTGACAGATAGTTTGGAGTACTATATTGAGGTCAAAATTGCCCGAACAATTTGCAAGAAAATTTCAGGAGATGAAAACTGTGCATTTCAAAAGGACCCCAAAATGCAAAAGGTATGTGGCTGAGACAAGGGGAAACTCCTTGCCTGTTAAGATTTGTATACTAGATCGTATTCAGGACTGCAGATGATGAGGTTCTAGGCACAGAGCATCATTTCTACCATATTGCTGATGCCAGCCTTCCCCACCTGAAAGTTATGGGATCTCTGGGGTGTTGCTTTTCTAGCTGGAAACCTCTACAGCTGGTGGCACCTTTGCCCAAGTTCTTGTCCTGCATCTGGAAAGAATGAGATACACAGACAAGTGGGGGGTGGGCAAGATGAAGAGGAGCTTCACTGAGTGTTAGAACAGCTCAGAGAAACCACGTGGTGGGTAGCTCCTCTGCAGTCAGCTTGTCCTGAGTGTTCAGCTCTCAGCAGAGAAGGCAGTTCCTCTCTGCAGCTGGTCATCTGGTAGTCTTCCCAGCTCTCAGCAGAGAGGAGAGCTCCTTTGTGCAGCTTGGCTTTTATGGTTTTCAGAGGGGGGAAATGTGTGCTTATTTGTCCAGAGCAGTCGTGGGTGGGCCCAGGAATAAGTACAAGTTCCCCCTCTCTGGCCTGCAGGACTGGCAGGCCAGCCAGAGGCCCCAGGCCCTCCTCAGCCTGAAGGCGGGGCTTCACCTGGGACACACCCCCTTCTGCCCAGGAGGCTGTCTGCCTCCCACCCCCCTTCATGGCCCAGGCTATTCATAACAAGGGGCTCCTGCAGGCCAGTGCTAAGCTGTCTTCAGCACCCCTTCATCCTCAGCAACCCCTTGTCCTCCCTCCCAAGGTCCTTGGTGCCCAAGGATTGGAGGAGGCCAAAGCAACAGGGGCCAGAATATTACAGCTGGCCTGAGCATGCACACACCTGGCTGGGTTGTGACAGCTCCAGGCTCTGCCCCAACCTTGCTGGATGGTCAGAGCAGGCGCCAGGAGCGGGGAGAGGCCAGGCAGTGTGAGCAGGCATCTCAAAGCCTGTGGCAGGGAGGGAGGCCTTCCCAGGCCTCAAGAGCACAGAGATGCCCAGGTCTGCAGCTGGGCTTGGGCAGCTGCAGCTGAACCTAGGGGCTCCTGCCCCTCACAACTCAGAAGCTACGGGGTTTCTGCTTGTCCTCGAGTCCTGGGGCCACCTCCCTGCTCTAGCCGGTGTCTTGTCAGTAGCCACTCTAGATGTGCCGCTGCTGCCATCACCACCACCAACGCGCGCGCACACACACACACACACACTCTCTCTCTCTCTCTCTCTCTCTCTCTCTCTCTCTCTCTCTCTGTTAGTGGCTTAAAGTAAAATCAACTCATTATTTCTCAGTATTCTGCAATCTGGGCTGTTTTCTGCTGGGGCAGGAATATTCTAGATAGCTGCTTTACTCATGTGTCTGGCACCTCCACGGGAATGGCTGAAACAATGGGGGGCTTGCCAGGCATCCACCCCATTGTGCTCAGGGACTCCTCATGGAGCAAACTTGTAGAGTGATCCAGTCAACCTGGTTTGTCAAAGACTGTAGGCTTTCCTGGGATGCAGGCCTTTCGGTACTAAAACCAGGGAAATTTTGGCAAACCAAGATGGGTTGGTCGTCCTACACTTGGACATTCTCACAACATGGCGCTTCCAGAAGAGTCAAAATTCTTAATTAGCTTCTAAGAGGAAGAAGCAGAAGCTGCCAGCAAAACTGACAGAGAAGAAAGTGGTGGCCGCCATCTTGGTTCACTGCCCACTCCGGCACCCTCTGCTGAGGGGTGCTGGCCTGGTAGAAGGCACAGCCTGACCTTCCCTCACTGCAGTCCTTGAAGAGCATTTTTCTCCAGCTGGGACTCCACAGGCCTGTGATTGCTCTGAAGCAGGGGTTGTTGCAAGCAACGCTTCTTGGCTAATTCTGATACCAGTGGGTTAGGGGAGATCCCCACATGCCGGCGGGACCTCGGCCCTGGGTGGTGTCTAGGCTTATGACACCCGCATAAGGAGGAATTCAAGGACAAGTTTGAAAATACTGAAAATACTGAGACTTGTTGCAAAGCAAAAAGAACACACTCAAGAAGGAGGGAGTGTGGGTGTGTACTGGAGAGGGTCATGTGCGACGGGGTTTGGTGCTCCGACCTTTGTGGGTTTCTTTAACCAAGGGGTGGAATATTCACGAAAATTCCTGGAAAAAGTTGGAGATTTCTTGGACCGATGTGCCACCCATTTTTACATCAAATACGGGTGTTTCCGGAGCTCCATGGTGCTGGTGGGTGTGTATTTAGTATATTAATAAGCACATAATGAAGGCCTAGGGGAAACTTAAGTCAAATCCAGTGTGCCGTGTTGGGCCCAGTCAGTTTTAGCCAGCTTGGTCCACACCCTGGTTTTCAGGATGTTATCAGCCCCTAGCTTCTGCAGCTGTTTCAACAGTTTCCTTTTGCTGGTCATGCAAAGCTACTGCCTGGAGTTTCCTATTCTCCTGCAACCACCCTATGGTATTCCTTTCTCAATCCCACTAGTCCAGCTGCTGCATGGAAGTCCTACAAGGCTCTGGAACTGTCCCAAGACTAGCCCAAAGGCCCTGCATGCTTCCCATAGTCTCCGAGGTCCAGGCTACTGCTGCTTCAGAGCAAGATGGGGGACAACCTCAGCCAGGCCAGGGTGTTGTCAGATGGGGACCGTCACTAAGGCAAGTTAATCGCAGAGGAGCAGGAGTAATACAAAATTCCCTTACTCTCCTGGTATTTGATTAACAGGGATACATTTCAGATGTAAATTGAATATTTAAAAATATATATAAATATTTTCTAAAGGTATATTCTCATAAACATGTAAGTGGTAACAGTGAGATCATGCCCCTTGGACTCCTGGATGATGCCCCAATTCTGCCCCCTGCCCAGGAGTTTCCACTGGGATCATTTGTGTGGACAGCTTTAAGATAATTTCACTATAAATTTACATAAATGACATTGTCTTTTTTCTCTTTCCTTTTTTATTTAAACAACTGCTGACACGTAGTGTGTTTTTTGACAACTTTCTCTTTTTAACATTTGTCTTGGTAATCTCATAGATATTTTTTCCAATTTTTTTCTTTCATAAATGGAACTAAATTGAAAATCCTTATGTGTTTCTGTGCCTTGTGTATTTTTAAATCTATTTACTAAACACCTAAAGCAGGCACAAGACATGGATTGGCAGAATTCGTGGCAGATAAGTGATTGGCAAAAACTGCTCAGACATAATGCCAATTAAAAATATCCTCATATTTAGGCGGGGCGTGGTGGCTCACGCCTGTAATCCCAGCACTTTGGGAAGCTAAGGCAGGTGGATCACCTGAGGTTATGAGTTCAAGACCAGCCTGGTTAACAGGGTGAAACACCATCTCTACTAAAAATACAAAAATTAGCTGGACGTGGTGGCACATGCCTGCAGTCTCAGCTACTTGGGAGGCTGAGGCAGGAGAATCACTTGAACCTGGGAGGCAGAGGTTGCAGTGAGCCGAGATTCCACCACCGTACTCCAGCCTGGGTGACCGAGTGAGACTCCATCTCAGAAAAACAAAACAAAGCAAAACACCTTGTATTTCAATGAAGAGCAGACGTCACAGCAGAATGCCAAGTGCAAGGGGGTGGCTAAATCTAGAGTGAATTCTTGTAAAAGATTAGGAATAATTTTAAATTAAGTGATATTTCAAAAATCCAGGAAAGTACTAAGAATGATATATCTAATGCCCATGTGCCTACCGTACAAATTTTATCATTTTATTACATTAATTTTAGATATCTATTTTCTAAGATTTATTTTTATTTATTTTAAAAAATAAATTTTATTGGGTATATCACATGATAATATGTGATTCATATACCTAGTAAAATGGTTACCGTAATGAAGTAAAATAACATATCCATAATCTCCATAGCTATGCATTGTTTTTGTGACATGAACAACTCAATCTAGTCATCTAGCAGAAATCCCAAATTTAGTGTAATTTAAATAACTATAATAATGTACATTAAATCTCATCCTGCATCTGCCCATTTGTAACTTCTTGCCTGTATCTCCCAACCCGCACCCCAACTGCTCTGCAGATAACCATTATTTTAATCCTTTCTCTGTATGTTTGACTCTTATTTTTTTAGATTCTACATATAAGTATGATGATTCGATATGTTTTTTTCTGTGTCTGCCTTGTTTCATTTAGTTCAATGTCCTTCAGCTTCATCCATGCGGCCAATGACAGGATCTCCTTCTTCTTGAAGGCTGAATAACATCTCATTGTGTGTGTACTGCATTTCCTTTATACATCCATCTGTTGATTAGGTTGTTTCTACATGCTGGCTATGGTGAATAGTGTTGCAATGAACACGGGAGACACAGGAGTGCAGGTATCTTTATGAGGTGACGATTTGCTTTCCAGAGGGACTGCTGAGTCACATGATAGTTCTGTTTTTAATTTCTTTAGGAAGCTCCATACTGTTTTTCATAATGGCTGCACCAGTTTACAGTCCCAGAAATAGTGTACGAAGGCTCTCTTCTCTCCACGCCCTCACCAACATTCTTTATCTCTTGATTTGGATCATAGCCATCCTAATGAGTATTGTGAAATATTTATTTTAAAAAGTGAAACGTTGCACATCTATTGTGCTCCCCCGTCACAGATAACCACTCTTCTGTCGTTGGTGGGTAACATTTCTTCCTATGTTTAAAAACTTTTGCCTCTGTAAAAGAATTTTGTGTGCTTTTCAAAATTTACATGCAATTTGGAACTTTTCTTTTGGTCTCAACAATATATTTTGAGATTTATCCATGTTGGTACAATCTACTATTATTTAATCATGTGGAATGATTTTTTGGGCCACTTGATGCATCTAGAAATAGGCCAAAAATCATTTTTATTATTGTACATTAAGCTATGATATAACTACATAATACTGTATTTTACCATTCCCTATTTTGAACACTTTTGACTGTTTTCAGTTTCTCGCTCTATTTTTAATTTTATTTATTTACTTTTAGAGACAGGGTCTCACTCTGTCATCCAGGCTGGAGAGCAGTGCCATGACCTTGGCTCACTGAAGCCTCAACCTCACGGGTGCAAGTGATTCTCCCATCTCAGCCTCCTGAGTAGCTGGGACTGCAGGCATGCACACCACACTTGGATGTTTCTAGGTTTTGTTTATAAGACTTGATTTTTAATATCTTGCATAATGTTTATATTTTTTTGGAGATGTAGGTCTCCCTATGTTGCCCAGGCTGGTCTCGAGCTCCTAGGACCAAGCAATCCTCCTGCTCCAGCCTCCGCAAGTGCTGGGATTACAGGAGTTTTTCAGTTTTAGCAGTAATGCTTCAGTGAAAGTCCTGATACATGCCCACTGTGCCAGGAAGCGAGAATCTCCACAGAGACAGCACTGGAGTGGGGCTGCTGTGTCCCGGACCATGCACAACTTCCGCTGCAGTGTGGCGGGCCATGTGTGATGCCTGGCTCCACGTTTACTCACCAAAGTGGTTAAACCAGCATAGCTTCCATCAGTGGTGTGGGTAATTGTTCATTTTTCCACAGCCATGCCAGCACTTGGTGTTAGGAGTCTTAAATTTCTCCAGTGTGATATATGTGAGGTGTTATCTCCTTATCACTTCACCTTGCCATCTCTCTAATTTGTAGCAAGGTGGGATGTTTTAATATTTCTAGGTTTTATTTATAGGATTTGCTTCTTAATATCCTTCATTCTAGAGCAATCAGGCAGCCCCTGTTGGGGCTTAGTCCTTAGGTGGAGAAACAGCTAACATACTGCGACTCCCTGAGCTCACTCTCCTCCAGCTGCCCACTTTTCTGATTTTATCCCCTGTTGGCCAAACTCAACCGGAAGCCAGAAGGTGCCCACTGACACTGTCCTTGGTGGTAATAGGACAAGGGTGCCCATTGGCACAGTCTACAGAGGTCAGAGGATAAGGGTGTCCATTTGAGCAACCCCCAGAGATCAGAGGGTATGGGTGCCCACTGGAGCTGCCCATGGAGATCAGAGGGCAAGGGTGCCCATTGGAGCTGCCCATGGAAGTCAGTTTTCCAAGGCATGCCAGGTAGAGACAGAAGAAGTGCAGGCCTTCGGGGACAAATGGAGAAAATTCAGCAGAGGGGCGGGGGTGGAGATGTGTGAGCCGTATGAGTCAATTAGTATTCTATTGAGATATCTCAAACAAGAGATGATGTTAGTTAGGTTGGGGAAGTGCTTAGATTCTGGGTCTGTGAAAGCTTGTTCAGAATTTGCTGATAGATTAGCCAAGGACTATGAAAGGAGGAAACTCAGGATGGCTTCGGGTTTGAGAGGTTTGGAGGTGGTTTACTGCCTTGGTTTTCTCTTACGATTGCATCCTCTATCTTGAGTGCTTGGCACTTGATGAACTTTTATTCATTTGCCCCCATCTATTTCTTACCATGTGGAGATTTTCAGCTGTCTCTTCCCTTGAATGGGGCCCTTTCCTGTTTCATAAAGCTCCTATAGATTGGACCCTGTCTGCTTTCTTGGTTTATTTACTGGTATTTAGGAAGGAAGAAAGTGTGGCTATCTGGGATCCTTGGAAAATAAATTTTAAAACAATATTATTTTAAAATAATTATTAGCCTGATTCATTTAATGTAAAAAATTTGGAAATTTTCAAAAATATTAAGCATTTTAAAATCAACTATAAATACCCTTATATAAAGCTTACCACTGTAAATACACTGGTATATATTTTAGTTTAAAAATATTTTATATTTATATTTTTTGTAGTTGAGAGCATAATAAGTACTGTCTCATGGTCTGGATTTTCATTTAATAATAAGTCCTAAGCATTTCCAAAACTGTAAAATTATTAGAGAGCATCGCGTAAGGAAACTACTCAGTATTATTTTATGATGCTTTCATATATTATTTAGCTAATTCTGATAATTGATGATTTAAGATTTCCCCTAATTTTTAGCTGCTTTGGACAGTGCTATAACAAATAGTCTTATTTCTTTGTGTGTGTAGGTCTGATTATTGTTCCCTTATAGGGACTGTTCTCAGAAATTGAATTACTTATCCAGTATTTTGTCAGCACTTAAGGATCTTAATATACATTGCTAACATATCCTCTAGGATTGAGCTTGATAATTGAGTTATTCAGGTAATGTGTTTCCTGATGACTGTTTTCTGTCTACTTTGGCTGGTCCGGAAGTTAAGCAGCTGCTTAGTCAACCCTCTGGTAAACCCGATGCCCACTCTCTGTCTTCACACCATTGGCACACACAGGCTTCCCCAACCCTAGATCCCCCTCCTGCCCAGGGGCAGAAGTCTGGACTCCGTTCTGCCATGCCCTGTCTGAGTTTCTGGTTTTGTATACTATTTTCTCCCCCAAACTCTTCCTGCACCTTTATATCTTATACAACTTCTTCCCTACTTGATGCTGTCATTCAAGTTTACATTGACTTCATGGAAGTATTCTTTACATTTTTATTGTAAATGAAGATTTTAGAGAGAGAGGAGGAAAACAGTGTTCTCATTGCCATGCAGGGAGCCTGAAACCCACAGGTTCTATAGGACTGTGGGATGAGTGCTACTTGTCTCCTTCCAGTCCTCCAGCTGCAAGCTTTTCTCCTTGGTTGCTGGCAAATTTTGGTTCCACAAGGTGTGAAGGACCTAGTACTGTTCTTGCAATGTTGCCTTCCCTGGGTAGAACTCTCTGTGCAGCATGAGGTCTCCGCAGACTACAGGGAGTCCATGAGGCTGGATGAGGGCCAGGGCTGGAGATGGGGATTTTCCAATAATAACCCATCCTTGTGCTCTGACCCTTGCTCTCCTGGAGTGAATAAAGCCACACCCACGATGGCTCAGATCACAGCACGTGAACTGATGAGGACTCCTCTGGTGAAGGGGCTGGGTCCTCTGTTTTATTATTATTATTATACTCTAAGTTCTGGGGTACATGTGCAGATATTGCAGGATTGCGACATATGTATACGCATGACATGGTGGTTTGCTGCCTCCATTCCCCCGTCACCTATATTAGGTATTTCTCCTAATGTTATCCCTCCCCTAGGCCCCCACCCCGCAACAGACCACAGTGTGGGATGTTCCCCTCCCCGTGTCCATGTGTTCTCATTGTTCAACACCTACTTATGAGTGAGAACATGTGGTGTTTGGTTTTCTGTTCTTGTGTCAATTTGCTAAGAATGATGGTTTCCAGATTCATCCATGTCCCTGCAAAGGATATGAACTCATCCTTTTTTATGGCTGCATAGTATTCCATGGTGTATATGTGTCACATTTTCTTTATCCATTCTATCATTGGTGGGCATTTGGGTTGGTTCCAAGTCTTTGCTATCATTGATGGGCATTTGGGTTGGTTCCAGGTCTTTGCTATCATTGATGGGCATTTGGGTTGGTTCCAAGTCTTTGCTATTGTAAACAGTGCCACAATAAACATAAGTGTGCATGTGTCTTTATAATAGAATGATTTATAATCCTTTGGGTATATACCCAGTAATGGGATTGCTGGGTCAAATGGAATTTCTATTTCTAGATCCTTGAGGAATCACCACACTGTCTTCCACAATGGATGAACTAATTTATACTCCCACCAACAGTGTAAAAGTGTTCCTATTTCTCCACATCCTCTCCAGCATCTGTTGTCTCCAGATTTTTTAATGATCGCCATTCTAACTGGCGTGAGACGGTATCTCAATGTGGTTTTGATTTGCATTTCTCTAATGACCGGTGATCATGAGCATTTTTTATATGTTTGTTGGCTGCATAAATGTCTTTTTTTGAAAAGTGTCTGTTCATATCCTACCCCCACTTTTTGATGGGGTTGTTTGTTTTTTTACTGTAAATTTATTTTAGTTCTTTGTAGATTCTGGATATTAGCCCTTTGTCAGATGGGTAGCTTGCAAAAAATTTTTTCCCATTTTGTTGGCTGCTGGTTCACTCTAATGATAAGTTTCTTCTGCTGTGCAGAAACTCTTAAGTTTAATTAGATCCCATTTGTCTATTTTGGCTTTTGCTACCATTGCTTTTGGTGTTTCAGTCATGAAGTCCTTGCCTATGCCTATGTCCTGAATGGTTCTAGGGGTTTTATGGTATTATGTTTAAATATTTAATCCACCTGGAGTTAATTTTTGTATAAGGTGTAAGGAATGGATCCAGTTTCAGCTTTCTGCACATGGCTAGCCAATTTTCCCACCACCATTTATTAAACATGGAATCCTTTCCCCATTGCTTGTTTTTGTCAGGTTTGTCAAAGATCAGATTGTTATAGATGTGTAGCATTACTTCTGAGATCTCTCTTCTGTTTCATTGGTCTATATCTCTGTTTTGGTACCAGTACCATCCTGTTTTGATTACTGTAGCCTTGTAGTAGAGTTTGAAGTCAGGTTGCCTGATGCCCCCAGCTTTGTTCTTTTTGCTTAGGATTGTCATGGCGATGCAGTCTTTTTTTTTTTTTTTTTTTTTTGGTTGCATATGATGTTTAAGGTGGTTTTTTGTCCAGTTCTGTGAAGAAGGTCAATGGTAGCTTGATGGAGATAGCACTGAATTTATACATTACTTTGGGCAGTATGGCCATTTTCACAATGTTGATTCTTCCTAACCATGACCATAGAATGTTTTTTCATCTGTTTGTGTCCTCTCTTATTTCCCTGAGCAGTAGTTTGTAGTTCTCCTTGAAGAGGTGCTTCACATCCTTTGTTAGTTGTATTCCTAGATATTTTATTCTCTTTGTAGAAATTGGATCCTCTGTTGTCTGATGGAGCGTGGCTGACTCAGACAACCTCTTAGCCCTGCTGAATCTAACTCCTACCCGGAAATAGGAATTTCTGCTTTTGTTTCTTCTTTTTAAAATAGAAGCTGACGAATTTGTTTTTGTCTCTTTCAGATGGTTTTTTGTACCTTTATTGTTGCATCCAAACCATGGAAATTTGAACTCACCATGCTGAAGAAACATTGCAAAGATATGTAGGGATCTTCTAGCGTGCTCTGCCACACTCATTTCCATTTTAAAGAGGAAGAAAAGACGCTTGTAAGAACTGGAACAACACAGTTAACCCATTGATCTCATTTGTTTGGCCTTTTTGCTTTTGTGTTCTTCGTGGGCTGATGTTGAAAATTTGTGGTGTGTTTTGACAGCATTGCACAGCCTATTCTAGCTGAATACTTCACCTACTAGCTGGGATAATCTGCTACCAATAAATGGAAGCTGTTTCTACACCTCACCCAACCCTGAGTACGAATTACCTTTCACTGACAGCTCTTTCTAGATAACCAGAGAACCCAGCCCTCAATTGCTTCAATCATGCTGGGCACTTTCTGTAAGGCTCTGAGAGTCTGGCTGTCTTGGGAGTTTCCGTCCATGGATTTCTGTAGAAATCTCCCTTCCCAGGACTTTTGGGAAGACACATCCTGTTGGCTTAGAAACATCTACTTTTAAACAGATCCAACCAGAGAGACAGTAGGATCATTTGGAGATTTTCATTGGTTTTGAGTTGAGGCAGAAAAGTTAATGGTGTAGGGAGAGAAGACTGCATGTGTGTGTGTGTGTGTGTGTGTGTGTGTGTGTGTGTGTGCATGCCTATGCATAAGTGTGTGCTCACAATTAGATGTATCAGTGAGTTAATGCTGCATGACAAATTGCCTGGTCACCTAACAGCGCAAGCAAATTATTTATATGTCTCATGGTGTCTGTGAGTCACGCATCTCTGGGTGGCCTGGCTGGGCGGTTCTGGTTGTCACCTTTCGTCAGGTTACACTCCAATATTGACTCTGTGCCATTATTTGAAGGTTTGACAGACTCTGGAGAATCCCTTCCAAGGTAGCTCACTCCCATGGCTGCAGGTTGGCAGCGGCTATTGACGGAGGTCTCATGGCTTCTCCACAAGATTGCATGTGAGCTTGGTGTCCCGGTTGACTTGCTCCAGACACAGTGTTCCCAGAGACCAAAATGGAAGCTATCATATGTGTTGTGACCTAGGCTCAATCCAGAACAGCCCTGGCTCAGTGTGGACTATACAAGGACATAAAGATAGGAGATTAGGATCATTGGAGACCATTCGGGAGGCTGGCCACTACAGTGTGCACACGTGTGCATGTGTGTGCACGCATGTGTATGGAGAGTGGACTGAGGTGATGAAGGGATAACCTGGCCACACAGAGGCACTTTCTGAAGTCCTGATGTGTAGACAGCAGCACCAGTGTGCAGGGTGGGGCCAGGAGACAATATTGTTTAATTGCCGGTAGTAACACAGGGTCAGGTTCTAACTTAGACACATGAGAAGGGGATGGTGAAGCTCTGAGGCCACCTGCATGACAACTCTCCTTGAGGGCTCTTCTCTGACAGAGCTGACTGCAACCTTCTGAGCTTCTCTGCCTGAGGGCTTTCTCTGCCAGTGAGGGGCAGGCTGGACTGCCAGTAATACCCATGAGAGGAGCCCTCAGCCAATGATAGCAGTTGGAGGATACACATCCTGGGCTCTTGTCCCATGGATAGAACACCAAGTTGTGCAGTTGTGTTCCACCCAGGCCCTGAGGAGCACTCTTCGAGACTGAGCTGTAGCTACCCATATTGCCAGCCTTGCTATCCACGCTGCGTCTGCCCCTTACCATTTCCACGTTCCAACTGCCTTTCTGGAATCACTTCTAAATAAGCCACTTGTGCTTGAATTTTTGTCTCAAAGTCAGCTTCTGGAGGAGCCAACCTAACAGTGGAGCCGGATCTACTGTAAGTGGCAGCCTGAGACACCCGGGGCTTCTGGCTGAGATCAGACATCAGGATACCCTTCATCTTGACAATGGAAACACCAAGTTCTGCCAAAATGTTTAAAGAGGTTTATTCTGACTCATATGAGTGACTAAGGCAGGGAAACAGAGTCTCAAGGTCCTGAGAAAGTGTGCCTGAGGTGGTCAGGTTACAGGTTGGTCTGATACATGCCAAGCCAGGAGTTGCAGGTAAAATTATAAATCAATACATGGAAGGTATATATTGGTTCGGCCCAAAAAGTTGAGACATCTGAAGGCATGGGCTTACAAGTTATAGGTGTGTTTAGGGATTCTTTAGTTGGAAATTGGTAGAAAAAGTTAAGCTTTGTCTAAAACATGGAGTAAGTAGAAAGGAATGCTAAGGGGATCTTCTATCTGTCAGGTGATGCCATGCCAGTCAGTTGGAAAAGCGAGTCACAATGTGCTAGGTCAGAAAGTACCTTTTTGATGAGATTTTATGGTTTGTAAGGCATGATTCCTCAGGCCCTTAAACAGAAATTTCAGAAAGAAAGAAAGAGAGAGAAAGAGAAAGAAAGAAGAAAGAAAGAGAAAGAAAGAAAGGAAAGAAAGAAAGAAAAGGAATGAATGAAGGAAGGAAGGAAAGAAAAGAAAAGAAAGAAAGAGTTCAGTTCTCAACCTGCACTCCCTAACATCTGCCAGCAGCTGAGATCTTTGGTGGGTGCCAATGAGTGGCATTCTTCATGGTCCCACCCCACTCTGGGCCCCCTCCTTTCCCGTGTGCTGGCAGGGTCATGGGGACACTGTCAGAGCAGTTCTTGTTCCATTCTTTCCCCGCCTCAGGATCAGGATCCCTATGCTGCTACTTGCAGCACCTGAGGACACATCCATCACACCTTAATCCCCAAGCTCTGTGCTTCTGGGGCCACTGGCCTCCCTTGCCTCTTGGCCTGAGCTGGCAAGCCCTGTATGGTCTCATGAGCAGCCCATGAAGGAGGGTGTTCTTTGCTGAGCCCTGACAGTGTGATTGGACATTGGAGGGACCTGGGTGTTCACATGCCCTGGGCTACTTGTTTCCATCATACTCATAACACCTGTTGTCTTAGGCCTACCAAACCCTGCTGTCCACATCTAAGGTCAGTTTTGTTAACGGGATCCATGCACTGGTTCAGGTTTAGCTCTTCAAAACCATCCGGCCTCTGTTGACCCATTGAGTCAGACTCAGGATGAAGAATCAAGATTAAGGCACTTTACTGACTCACGGGATTTTTGAGTTTATTGACTAACAGCAACATTTTTGTGTGAGTGTGAAAGGAAGTGGAATGTGTGGACACACGGACTCCTGAGAAACCCCCAAATTGTCTCCTTTTCTACCAAGGCTGCTAGCTTTGGCCACGCAGGATGGACACAGCCAGTGGGATGCCAAATCCCACCTTCACCCTCCCATCAAAGACCTTGCTCTTCAGACGACAACATGGGTTCAAGCGTCACCTTGCCATCAAGCCATTCTTTTTCTTTACCTTATGAATAACTTTGAAAAAAAAAAAGGAAGACAATGTCAAAAACTCACCTTACAAAGCAGGGAATATTCCTGCTATGGACTGAATGCGTCCCATCCAAAATCCAGGAGTTGTCAATGTGATGGAATTAAGAGGTGGTGCCTTTAAGAGATAATTAGGCCACGAGGGCTCTTCCCTCGTGGGTGGGATTAAGGCCCCTATAACAGAGGCTTCATGCAGTGTACCTTGCCCTTCCACCTTCCACCATGTGAGGACACAGCAGGAAGGCCCTCACAAGATGCTGGTATCTTGGTCCTGGGTTTCTCAGCCTCTAGAGCTGTGAAAAATAAATTTGTGTTCCCTCTAAATTACCCAGCCTGTGTTATTCTGTTGTAGAAGCACCAACAGACTAGGACAGTTCCTTTTCGGGGCTCCGCAGGGGCCAGGGAAGAATCAGATGCCCAACTCACAGGATGCATATGGACATGAGGGACTCTGGGTCTTGGGACCTGAAGGGGACGTGTGGAGTGAGTAGGAGTTGTCTTGAGACTGCATGCAGGACCAGGGTTGACAGCTGGGATGCGCTCTTGTGTATGTACCCTGGCAATTCCCTGCCCTCCCCAAGTTCCGCCCCCTCTTCCCTTCCTCTACCTCAGTGAGAGAGGTTTGTAGAGTCTGCAAAAACCTCCTCACATTCTCCTTGTCACTTTGTGTTCATGACAATGGTCAATCTCCCCAGGGCTGTGTCCCAGCCTTGACCTCCTGGGAAAAATGAGGAAAGTATCCAGATGTCCCCCAACAGAAGGGAAAGCGGCCACAGTGTAGAGTAAAGCAGCGTGTATGTAGCACATTGTGGAATTAATTTACATTTAGTGTTTTCTTCTACTGCCTCATTTGATTTCAGCTGTAACCATTTGCGGATAGCCAAGCAGAGGTTGCCATCTTTATATAAGTGACTCAGAGACAGCAGATGAGAGATTAGGAGCTGAGGGGTGCAGAGTTGAATGAGAACTCACATTTCTGGGGAAAGAGGAAGCTCGCGACACCACTACAATACGCGCCCCTTTTCCTTCCTGGGCTTGGGGTCCAGGAATACTACTGACCAGATGTTCCCAGCATGTCTCTGGCCTTAGCCTCTGGCACAGAATTTGCTCAGGGGGCCCACCTCATGGCTACACTCAGCATCTATGAACCTAATTTTCTGACTCTTCACCACACAGATTCCTGAAGGGGAAGTGTAGCTATTTCCAGGAGTAAGTGCAGACAGGCAGGGCAAGAGGAGGCCTTTCCAAAGGAACAGGGCCCTTCGTGCAAGACCTGTCCTCTAATTAGGCCTGTGCACTGAGGTCATGCCATGCGTGATAGAGAGTCCTGGAAATACATAGATGTCAACATGTCTCAGAAATTGTGGACGTACATTTCTTGGGGATGCAGAAAAATGTTGAAGACCCACACATGTAATCTGAGTCCGGCAGACACTAGCACATCCTCCCAGGGGCCAGTGCTTGGAGTGCATTCCTCTCCCCTTGCTCCATGAAGGAGGGCTCTGCTTCCACAGGGTCCTGGGCCAGGTCACCCCCCACAGTGGGCTCACTCCCCATGAGACCCTGTCCTGGAAACTGCCTCAGAAATGAAGTTTGAATGAAATGAGTGGGGCTGACTCTTTGGAAGACACCTGTGGGAATCACTGTGGATAAAGCACCTCCTCTGAGCTTCCTTCTGCGGATGGAGTCAGGGTCAAGAGAAGGACCAAGGCTGGGAGCACACAGGAGAGGTGGTGGGAGGGTCTCAAAGGAGAACCTGCTCAAGTCTGGAACAGGGCAGGGCAGGGCTGTGTGGGTTCCAGAGACCAGTTGGGACAAAGTGCAGCAGCCGTGCCCACCTCGGTGCCGGCAGGCCGCAGGGAGGTCTCCAGGCCTGGCTCTCCCCTCTGCTTGCCTGAATGCCTGTGGTCTAGGGACCACCCTTCCAGAATGTCTGTGGAAGGCACATCCAAAGACAATGGTCCAAACAATGGCCTTGTGCTGGGACCCCGCAGGTTGACCCTGAAACGCAGACTGGCAGGTGTAGGTAGTTTATTTGGAGGTGATCCCAGGAGGCACAAGTGAGACAGGGAGACAGAGAAGGGGAAACGCAGCGTGTCTGTTACCAATGTGTTACACTGGGGCCGGGCGTTCATCCTGCTGGGGAGCTTTGAGAACCATGTGGCACACGCGTCCGGATGCCCAGACGCTGGGAGACTGAGACATTCACCTGCCTCCCTCCTGAAGATGGAGTGTGACTCTCAGACTTGACCTTAGGGGTTGGCAACCACGGCCCGAGGGCCAAATGCAGCTCCGTCTGCTGGCCTCCATGTGTAAACAAAGTCTTGTTGGGACATGACTGCACTTATTTATTTTTGTCTATGGCTGCTTTCAACTCACTAAGGCACTGTTGGGTAGTTAAGAAAGTGACTATATGGCCTACAAAGACCAGAATAGTTACTTGTAAAATCTCTGCAGAGAAGGCATGCTGAGGCGTCGTCTGGGAGATGTGGGCAGGGTGTCCATAGCTGTCGGTTGTTCTCAGCTAACACAGTAAGTAGACATACACCCTGGGAATTAGCGCCAATGTCACATGTGCTGTGTGGGATCCGGAGTCCCTGTCCTGCTCCTCCCCAGGAGGCCACTGTCACTGCTCCTCTGCAGCCTGCATGAGCCCTGAGGCAGCAGCTCAGATGCAGCTCAGCTGTGCCTCTGGAGGACGCTCAGGAGGCCCAATGGGTTAGGAGAAAACTTACCCCTGAGAGCCCAGGAGGCTGCCCTGCTGAGAGCAGCTCCATCAACTGCCCAGGCCCTCCGTCTGGAATCACGGCACACAACACTTCTTAAAATGCTGATTGTTAAGATGTATACTACATGATCAACTTAGACAATGGAGAATTTCTAAAATACCTGAGCATGAGCATCTAACACATGGAAAATAAGAACACGCGAGCACAGAACTGCTCAGGCACTGCAGGGCCGTGTTGAGGACCTGTGGGTGTGCTGGAAATGAGCCGACAGCATGTGGCCAGGCACGTGGCTGGGTCCCACTCAGGAACGCCCGGCTGAGCATGTCTTGTTCCAGAGTTCAAAATGTGTCCTCCAGGGTTCTATGCTGATGGTGAAGAAGCAGGTGTGGGTCTGAGGGAGCAAGCACAGGAAGGGAAAGTGAGTGGGGGCTCGGGAAGCAGAAGCTTGTGGCTTCTGCTATCAACGCAGTTTCCATCTCAGTCTTGCCCATTTCCAGGGCTGGGCTCTGGTCCCCAAGTGTGGCCCTCCAGCCTGAGTTATGGGCTGTTCCAGACTTTCAGGGTGATTTGTGGCTCCCTCCTGACCAAGGAACCCCTGTATCGGCACCCTCCTCCCCAGCCAGTGGCATCCCTGGGAAACCCAGGCTGGCTGGTGTCTTTCATCCCCCAAGAACAGCACGGCACACTCCATTCCAGAGGGAGCTGCACTCAGATTGAAACAGTTACATAACCTATTACACAGTACTGATAAGGGGGTGAAGTCATGCTAGTGTGTTGTGCACGGTGTCAGGGTTCCTTATGTCCTTGTCCCCAGAGCAGGCACTGCAGCTCAGCAGGGGCCAGGACAGGACCAGGGAGGGAGGGCAGTGGGGCCCCCCACAGCCTCCACCTCCCTCAGGCTCTGGGTCAGGATAGGAGGGCCCTGAGAACTTCACACTCAGAGAGAGGTGAGGTCAGATCCCCCCCAGGCTCTTTCTTCAGAAGGCAGAGGAAGGCTGGGGAGGAAGACCAGAGAGGTAAAGCCTCTACTCAGGCCTGGAAGACCAGGACCGCAGGGGCCAAGAGCAGTCTGAAGCCCATGTGCCCTGGGTATGGGCAGCTGCAATGGTGTGACAGGGCAGAGTCAGGAAACTCAGATTGGCCAGGAGCCTGCAAGGGGACCCCTGGCTGCCTGCCCTCTGCGCTCCTCACAAAGTCACAAGCAGGGTGGCCTGGTGGAGGCCGCTGTGGGCTCACTCCTCTAAGTCTCTTTGTCAGCTGCACCTGTGCCCACACCACAGCCCGTGCAGCACCCACAGCTGTAGACATGCGGGAAGCTGGTGCCCTGTCTTACATTGTTCAGCTCTGGGCCTTGTTGAAAAGGACAGTTGTCAATGTCGTCTTCAAATTTCCCACATGTGGTTCGGCCCAGTTGCAGATTCATGGAGAAGGTCATCTTATCATAACCCTGTTGAATAAAAGAGATTAAAGTGGACACACTCTTTGAGTTGCTCATAGGTAACTCCTTGTGAAGAAGCGACCTTGTCGGAAGAGACCACAACACTCTCCTCCGTTAAGGAGCTCGCACGTGGACCTGGCATTGGCTCACTGGAGGTAAGAACCAGGCGACCTTCTCTAGACTGAGGAGTTAAGAGCAAAGGGCAGGTAATCGTGGTGCGTTCTGGGACAAGCACAGGCCGTCAGACCCCATAAATGCATCCTCTGTCTCCAGCTTCACCTCCCCGTCTCCCGCAATGAGACCCAGCTTCACCCTCAGCAGGCGTCTGATGCTGCAGCTGCACTTTCAGAGGGCAGGAGCTGCATGCTTGGGAGGGTGTTGGCTCTCCAAGAGTTTTCAGGGCAACCTCAGCCCTGGGACAGAGGGAGGCACATCTGCAGCGTGTTGTCAGACCATCCACCTGACCTCAGCAAGAAGAATGCCACCCAGAGCTCCCACTACACACAGGCACACACCCTGGGGACAATGGCTTAAAGAAATGCCAACTGCCCTATTACAAAGGACAACCTGACGTTCTCCTTGCTTGCCTTCCCACTTCATTCTATTTCATTCCACTCCATACCCTCCCTCCCGCTCCACGCATTCCTCCCAGCCCCCGAACTGCCTCTGAGATTGCCACATCTGGGACGCCACGAGGAAGGCTCCACACCAGAGGGCAAGGGCAGAGCACCAGCCAGGGCCTTGCACAGAGTCTTTGCAGAGCTTCAGCTCTGTGCAGCACGAGTCCTTCTGCCCTGCTTTCAGGCTCTTGGTGCTGACAGAGGAAGAGCAATGCTCCTTTCTCCCCCGAAGCCGGAAGTGCTGCATTAGGAGGGCATTTTAATTGTTCATGCCAGCAGCCCAGATGAACTGTGCGCTCCCGACTGCTTTCTCGATTCCATTAAAAGGGGAATATTTTAGGATGAAGGACCGTGGACCAAGGAAGAGTGTAGACACAGGAGCCGCCCAGAGCAGGTGGAAATCAGAACTGACCTCACAGCGGCCTCTCGGAGCTGATAGTGCTGCTTTTTTCACTTCTGAATTATCAGCTCTCTCTGTCTCTCTGTCTCTTTCTGCCTATCTGCCTGTCTCTCTGTCTCTCTCTCTTCCCTTTCTTTTACTCTGATGATCTCTTTTTTAATTTCTTTGAAATGTTTCTCAGTTTCTATGGACATTTTTTGTGTGACCTATTTTCTTACCTGATGCCTCATTTTCTCAGTTTTTCTTATTTTGAGGTCATTCTTCAGTTAAGTGATGCCATAAAAATCATGGAGGTTGAATAATATATCTAGTATTGAGTAGACCTGGGCTCAAAAAAATTCTAATTTATATCTTTCATAAAGACAAAAGTAACTTTCTAGGTTGTATTTTTTTTACAAGTTTGGACTCCAGTTGGTGAACCAAGAGTCCTTGTTAAGCCCTGGCCACTCACTCCCCACCCCGGCCCATCACTCAGCAGCCTGTGCTGGACACCAGGGCAGGAGACAATGTGGTCACCAACCTGCTCCTTCCAGGAATCCAGGACACGCACCAGCTTGTAGGCATACCAGTCCTTGCTCTGCTGGTTGAATGTGTACACGGCAAATTCCAAGGTGAAAGGGAGATAAACAGCAATTAGTTTTTGGTCATTCCACTCCTCTTTGTCTTGGAAACGCCAGGAATAGGTTACGAGGAGCTGGGAGACGAAGAGAAGCATCAGTGGCACCCAGAAGAGAGCCCGGTTCCATGGCAGACTCGGCATGGTGCAGAGCACAGGACCCCTGACTCCGGCCCTCCCAGCCTAAACTCCCACAGGAAACTACTGCACACAGTTCTGGCCCTTAAACTCCTGAGCTCAGGCAGAAACTCCTCCCTGCATTACAATACTCCCAAATGTGGCCTCACCTCCTCCAGACAAAGCTGCTTCAATAATCTTTTGTCCAGGGAGGAGTAACAGCAACAACGGGGGTGGGTTAGAAAGATCAGCAATGGGAGGGAGGATCTGCTGGGCATGAGGTCCAGCCACCACTGCTCCCTAGTGCCTCAGTGGGCTAGAGGAGAGCACCCACTTCCTTGGGAGTCCCAGGATCAGACTCTGAAATAAGACCAGAAGTGCAAGAGGTGTGAATGGAAGGTGATCCCTGGACATACCAGTGCGGTGGGGAAACAAAAGCAGACAGGTCAAAGGAGGAGCTGGCAGGAGCAAGGGCAGTGGGTGAAGAGACGGCATGGCTGCACGGGGACTCAGGAAGGTCCACAGCACCTGCCTGAGCATGAGCAACCTGATTCTCCCAGGCTCCGAAGCTGAGAGTGAAGGCTGCTCTTGGGCATCCTTCACTGCTGTTTAAAGCTGAGGACCTGCTCCACTGGCAGAGCGACCTCCTGACAAAGAACTTGGGGAAGATTAGTACAGGTGCTCACAGCTAGATTCAGCCACTGGAGTTACAAGTTTGGCAAAGTTGGGGGATGGTCCTAGGAACCCCACTCTGTTGGATGTCAGGGATAGAGGAGAGGGCTAGGGACAGAAACAACACCATGCATTCAGCTCTAGGTCACTTTCTTTCGAGCATAGCCGGACATAAGTGTGTCCTGTGCTGAGCTCTGATCTTGGATGTGGTGACCATGAAGGACAATGTGCCAAGGCCAAGGACACTCCCATGAGCTGGTGCACACCCTTCCTTCCCAGGCCTGCAGGGTGGAGGGAGTGTCCAAGTGGGACTCTGAGTTCATGGATGCTGCTCACAAGAGAAGGTCTCAGCAGAGCTGCCTGCAGCACAGCCCTTACCCTCCGGCTGACCCTCTCAGCCCTGAGTCATGAGTGACAAATGCCATTTCGGGGTTCCACCCCCTGAGATCCTTGTTGTCCCTTCCAGCAGCTGTCTGCAGTTGATGAATTCACTGGAGTTCTCCCAGAGATGCAGGGTGTTGGGAGTGGGGACGGGGTTGGTCCTAGCCTTGGAGACCTGAGAGCCAGTCCAGCCGTGCCAGGGGCTGGTCCTGCATCTTCAACCTTCCCTGAGCTTTCTGGGTCTCACTTGTCCACTCCTCAGATGGGAGTAGCAACATCCATCCAGCCTCCAGAGGCTCGTTGCTTCCTGGATAAATTGTCCTCATGGAGTCAAAGTGCTGCGATAATCGCAAAGTTGTACGCTTAGATTGGCAATTGTTCTGCACTGGCAACTCCTTTCCTTATCTCTGCTGAGGGTACATCTGGACCTTGCACATTTGGCATTTCTCCCCAGTGTCCCGGCCTGGACCCCAGCCTGGGGAAGGAATGAATGCTGGGCTCAACGCTGCCACCGAGGCTGACAGCAAAGTGCAGATTCTGAGAGGTGTTTTCACCACTGTGATGACCAGAGGCACCTGCGTATCTCTCCAGAGGGGAACGCAGATGAAGGAGGCCAAAGCACAGGAAATGCCTGCAGAGAGGGGCTCAGAGGGAGGGCAGTCAGGGGCCCTGGAGACAGCCACAGTCCGGCTTCCTTCCCCTGCTTTCTCCGGGGCCCCACCTGGCTGCTCCCTCGCATTGTCCTCACCCACTTGGAGCACCCTGCCCATCTGCACCACGTACTGTGCATCTCCTTGATCTTCATACTGAGTCTATTTTTCTTTCTGAGTCACAGAATCATCATTTATCCAAGTCAGATTTCTCTCCATAGTGAGAACAGATGGATAAACTCACCCCCGCTCCCCAACAAGCGTATCATGGCCACGTGCAGGAATCTATAGTTCACATTTAAAGGCCTTTGTCCAATTCTCTCACATACATCACTAGTCAAAGAGCAAGGAAAAGAATGTTCTCATTGCAGTAGCGACTTGGTACATGATTTGATCTTGGACTGACAGCATGCACAGTACAGCAATGCAAATGCAGGTTATATGATCATAAAAGAAAAAAATCCATCAAGAAGCCATAACAGTGATGAACCTGCATACAAATGCCACCATGGGCTTGGAGTATACAACAGAACAAAGGACAGTGTCACAGGGAAATGGCACGTCCGCAGCCACGTTGGGAGTGTTTACTATGTCTCCCAGAAGCTGGCTTACAGAGCCCACATGTTATAAAGGATACAGCAGGGTTGACAGATATAGTAACCAGTCTACTTCATTAGTTGCCTGTAAATTTATTTACTAAATATAAAGTGTAAAGTGTGTTTAAATTATGGCAAAACAAACAGAAAATTTGTTTAAATATATTCACATTGCTGTGCATAGAATATAATTTTTTCAAAGAATGATCTGATAATTATGAAATTAAAGTGTTTGTTATATTACAAGGATATTGGCAAAACAAGCCTCCAGGCTTAGCTGGTGGGGTTTGGGTACACTATACTCACTGAGGATGAGGTCATTGGCTGTTCCCTAATGTGTAAGCTGTCACCCCCAACATCTCCTGAAGCTCTGCCCCACCGCCTGGCTCTCATGGGTTGCCAGGCTCTTTCTTCACAAGAAACCTGATTCCTTGATGGCAGGAGTTGTGAGTCTTCGTTGTGGACCTATGTGCTGTCTCTGTGCTGAACATTGACATGGAGAAGGGCTGGCATTAGCAGGGCAGCCCCTCCCACGGTGATCTCCAGCTCCCGTGGAGCTCCAGGACAGAGCAGGCTCCGGGACAGAGCAGGCTCCGGAACAGAACAAGTTCCGTGGAGGATGATGCCGGGATGGGAGGCTTGAGGGAACCTGGAGCCAGGAGCCCCCAGCCAAGCATTCTGTACCTCCATGACGGCAGCCTCACAGCCCAGAGATGTGCCACCATCTACTGGCCTGGGGTCTCAGCTGGTTATGAAAATGACCCCCACAAAGGTGTTTGGAAGATGAGTGGTGGCTGGATGCAGTGGCTCACACCTGTAATTCCAGCACTTTGGGAGGCCCAGGTGGGAAGGCTGCTTGAGCTCAGGAGCTCAAGACCAGCATGGGCAACATCAAAAAACTCCATTTCGACAAAAAATGCAAAAATCATTTTTTTTTTGTATTTTCTATAGAAATGGAGTTTTTTGATGTTGGGCATGTTTTGGTGTTTTTTTAGGGGCATGCTGGTGTGTACCTGTAGTCCCAGCTATTTGGGAGGCTGAGGTGGGAGGATCACTAGACCCCGAGAGATGGAGGCTGCAGTGAGCCATGATCACACCACTGCATCCCAGCCTGGGCAGCACAGTGAGGCCTGTCTCAAAAAAAAAAAAAAAGAAAATGATAAGGCTGAGTGACTACTAATACACACTGCCCACCCCCCTTTTTTGTAATTTAACCATCTATTTTAGATTCAGGAGAGTACATGTGCAGGTTTGTTACATGGGTATATTGCGTGGTGATGATGTTTGAGGTATGATCAATCCTATCACCCAAGTAGCAAGTATAGTACCCAATAGTTAATTTTTTAACTCTCGCCCCCATCCCTCCACACCCTACTAATTTCTAGAATTTCTGTTTAGCTCCCATTTATAAGTGAGAATACACTGTATTTGATATTCTGTTTCTATATTAATTCACTTAGCATAATGGTCGCTAGCTTCATCCATGTTCCTGCAAAGGATATAATTTTGTTCTTTTTTACAGTTGTGTAGTATTCCATGGTGTATATGTGTCAATTTATTTTTAATCAATTACACCGTTGATGGGCACTTAGGTTGATTCCATGTCTTTGCTATGGCAAATAGTGCTGCAATGAACATAAGAGTGTATGTGTCTTCTTGGTAGAATGATTTATTTTCCTTTGGGTATATACCCAGCAATGGGATTGCTGGGTTGAATGGTCTTTCTGTTTTTAGTTCTTTGAGAAATTGCCAATCGCTCTCCACCGTGGTTGAAATAATTTACATTCCCACCAACAGTTTTCCCATTTCTCTGCAGTCTTAACCAGCATCTGTTGTTTTTTGACTTTTAAATATTTAATCACAGCCACTCTGACCGGTATGAGATGATATCTCACCGTGTTTTCTTTTTTAACTTTTATTTTAGGTTCAGGGGTACCTGCACAGGTTTGTTTTATAGGTGACTTGCATGTCCAGGGGTTTGGTGTACAGACTGTTTCATCAAGCAAGTAGTAAGCACAGTACCTGTTGGTATTGCTTTGATTCTCACTTTCCCCTGGCCTTCCACCCTCCACCCTCAAGTAGAGTAGACCCGACTTCCTTTCTTTGTGTTGATGTATGCTCAATGTTTAGCTCTCACTTATAGGCAAGAACATGTAGTATTTTTTTTTCTGTTCCTGTGTTAGTTCACTTAAGATAATGGCCTCCACGGAGGTTGCAGTGAGCCGAGGTCGCGCCACTGCAATCCAGCCTGGTGCCTGGTGACGAAGTGAGACTCTGTCTCAAAAAAAAAAAAAAAAAAGAAAAAAAGTTAATGGCCTCCAGATCCATCCATGTTGCTACAAAGGACATGATCTCATTCTTTTTTTTTTAACGGCTGGGTAGTGTTACTTACTGTATATTCGCCGTATTGTCTTCATCCAGTCTACTGTTTGTGGACCTGTCGATTCCATGTCTTTGCTATCGTGAATAGTGGTGTGAATATACACATGGATGTGTCTTTACGGTAGAATAATTTATATTCCTTTGTCTATATACTCAGTAATAAGCTTTCTAGGTTGAATCATAATCCTGCTTTGAGTTCTTTCAGAAATCACCAAATTGCTTTCCACAGTGACTGAGCTGATTTACATTCCCACCAGCAGTGTGTAAGTGCTCTCTTTTTTCTACAACCTTTACCAGCATCTGTTTTTTCACTTTGTGATAATAGACATTCTGATTGGTGTGAGTGGTATCGCATTGTGGTTTTGATTTGCATTTCTCTAATGATTAGTGGTGTTGAGCATTTTTTCATATACTTGTTGGCCA